AACCAAGAAAACAATAAACATACAATTTAACAAGAAGCGTGAAATAATAAAATAGCAAAAATACCAAAAAAAAAAAAAATAAATAAAAAACAAAAAATAAAATAAAAAAAAAGATAAAATAAAAAAAATTGAAAACACAGCAAAATTGTTAAGAAGCTGCGTAAAGGAGATGTGATGATGTGATTCGTTGCGATTTGGATATAAAACGTTTTGATTTAGATGGAATTTATATGTCAGCGTGGCAAGGATATAAAAATGTACACCATTCGCATTCAACGTTCACACAATTGGTTTGATTGATTGATGGATTGATTGAGCGAGTACTTTGCTAGCTTTATGCTTATTTGCGAGATTAGATAAGATGTAACAAATGTATTGACATTAAAGAAATCCTGTAGTACAATTGTAAATGGCTGGCAATGACAAAAAAAGCGACGGACAGAGCATGAAAAATTTATAGATTAAGACATTCGAACGAAAGAACCACTCCATTCCATTTCTTTCTGACTATCCGATTCTATTCTATTCGATTCGATTTGATTTCGATTGCAAATGCAAATGTTGAATATGGTGGATGTGGTATGCCTAAAAGTATGCAAGGAATTTAAATGAGTTAGATAAGCAAGCAAGCAAGCGCCCGTTTAGAGACTCGCACGCGACGGATTGCCATATTTTAAACAATTTCCTTTTCATACTCGAACAAATTTTTTTTTAATAACAATAATTTTGTCTATGAATTTTTTGGTAAAATGCTGAATTGCTATGCAAAGTTGCCGTGGCAATGTACGTATCAACAAAATAAATAAATGTTAGCATATATTGTACATACTGTACATACTCTACATATTGTATGTGTGTATGTATGTGTGAAGAATAATGTCTAACAAACAGCGAACAGATAGAAAACAATCTATTTAATGCGTGCTGCATTTGTTTTGTGTGCTAAATTGGCAACAAATGAAACATAAAGAGAACAACATTTGGTTGTAAGGATATAAAAATTGTTATAAAATATAAATAAAATCAAAAAATAAGCCCCAATAAAAAAAAACGTCAATAGCATTAGAAGTGAGATTTTGACTTCAGCAAAATGTGTGTCCCAATGTTTATTCATTTCTATGTTAACAATATACAGTATGCAATACACAGTATTTTTAGAAAATAAATTATAAGTTAAGTCCAAATAATAAAGTATAAATGAAACTGCCATCATCGCATATCGCATGTCGCATTTCGTATGTCGTATGTCGCATGTGTTGCAATGTCGTTTATGAAACAATTTCTGATCAAATTCAAATTAAATAAATGCATAAAAAATTAATATTAGAAAAATGCAAATAACTCAAAATGCGTTTACGATTTTCTATTGTTGAGAATTTCATAAAAGATACGCTACAAATATTAATGCTAACAGCAATAGTGGGATGTCCTTTTAGCGGATATCACAGTGAAATGAAGGCAATGGCTATACCAGCATCAGCTTCAGCATCAGCATCAGCAACCGCAACGGCAACAGTAATAGCAACGGACGTTAATGGCACAATAACGGCAACCTTGACTCCAACAACAGCGGCTGAGGTAGCATTTGCATTAGTGGCAGCAGTCGCCGAGGAAGAGGCAGAAGCAGACGCAGAGGCGGAGTTGTATACGCCTACATTTGTAACTTCCTACAATTTAATAACAAATGGCACAGAACTAGCACAGTCCACACTAACAGAGATTTCACTAAAGGATTTCGATTTACGTGTCGAACTGCAGTCAGCACAAGCCCAACTGTCAGAAGGTAAATATATTTTATTTTATTTCAATATTATTCATATATCCTTTTGCTTTCTTTTTTATATTTTTTTGTGAAATAGCAAAACAACAATTTTTAAATTAAATAATTTTTTTTTTTTGTTTTCACTGAGAAAATTAATGTATAAAAATAAAATTTAAGCATTATTAATGCCGTGCGTAGTCAAATTACCGCAGTCTCAGCTGCAGTCAAACGGAATATAAGTGTGTCATTGTATAGCCTCGCACAATGTCCTCGGATTATTAATGTCTGTCATTTCGTCTTTGTAATTTTTTTAAAAAACTTTTTTCTCCACACTTCAGTTTTGCATATATACGTATATATTTTTTTAATCTATCCACCATTTCACTTTTACGTGCTCTTGTCGCATTCCTAGTCGTAGTTGTCAGTTCGCATTGAAGTCGTCCTTACTTTCGCCTGACTTTTTATTGTAATTTTGAGTTTCACGTCAAATTTACCAAGCACCCACCCGCAGATATACATTTTAATGGATGTCACCTGAATGGAATCAAATCGTACGTACGTACGTACGTACGCACACAAAAAATATTATATGAAAAATATTTTTAATACATCATCCATATTTCATTTCTGTATTCACGCAATTTAATATTGCAATTCAAATAAACGTACGTTTTTCCCCCGCAATCGCATTGTGCGCACTACAGTCAGACAACTAACTCAATCAGTTCATTATATCCTTCACTCACCATTTAGCATATTGTAGTGTGATCCTTTCTGAGAAATATATTGAGGTTTGATATAGGTTAACTACAACTTTAGCCTGAAAACTCAGAGCAATTTTAAATCAAAGTTGAATATTTTTTAATGAAAATTCTAGATATATTTTTACAAGAGGAATATTTAAACAATATTTGATTCAAAAATCTCAGTTACGGTTAAGAGAATATTTTTATATAAATAATAAGATAAGAATTATTATTTAATCCTTTTATTCCTAGGTGGAACAGAGGGCCGTAACAAATAGTTTCCATTGAACTCTATCTAATGCAAGACGTTTTGTTTCACTCCAGCTCTTTCCAGCATTTCTTAATTCGGCTTCAGTTTGTCGTTTCCAAGTGTTGCGCGGACGCCCTGGTCTTCTACTGCCTTGAGGGTTGAAATCTAAGACATTTCTTGCGATATCATCAGCGGGTTTTCTTAACGTGTGGCCAAGCCATTTGTATTTACGCATCATTATTTCATCAGTTATAAGAGGCTGATTCGTTCTAAACCAGAGCTCATTATTGGTTATGGTTGCTGGCCAGAATACATGAAGGATGCGTCGTAGACAACGATTGGCAAAGGCTTGTAGCTGTTGTGCGTCTCTTGCCGTTAGGTTCCAACTCTCACTACCATATAGTAAAGTTGATTTTACGTTTGCATTGTACAGGTGTATCTTAGTGCGTTGTGTGATGTTGGATGAACGCCAGATTTTGTTAAGGGTTCCAAACGCTTGCTTCGCTTTCGATAGCCTGTACTGTATGTCTTGCCGACTGCCGCCGTTGTTCGAAATGTAGCTTCCCAGATAGCAGAAACTTTGTACATCTTCGATGTAGGAGCCATCTAGTTGAAACTTCGTTAAGCAGTTTGAATTGAGACGCATAGACTTGGTTTTGTTGATATTGATTGACAGACCAGCTGCCAATGCACGCTTTGCGATGTTGTTTAACGATATTTGCATCTGGGAAAAGTTATGCGTTAGTAAACAGATGTCATCAGCGTAATCGAGGTCAGTAAGTTTGTTATGAAGGCCGAATGATATGCCATGATTTGTGCTCATAGCTTCCGACATAACCACATCTAAGACTATATTAAATAGTATAGGTGAAAGAATGTAACCTTGTCGGACGCCAGACTTAATTTGGATTTGCCCGCTGAGACGCCCTTCGTGAAGTACTGAGCAGTGCGCGTCAGAGTACAAGCCTTTTACTAAATTTATTAATTTACTCGGTATACCTTTACACTCTAATGCATACCAGATGGTGGTATGGAGAAGTGTATCGAATGCACGTTTAAAGTCGATAAACAGCAAGTATAGGGGAGATCGCCATTCGCTAGACTGTTCGACTATTATTCGAAGGCTGTTTATGTGGTCGGCACATGATCGAATATGCCTAAATCCTGCTTGCTCGGCTCGTAGTGTAGGCTCAACGGCCGAAGTTAAACGTTTATGTAAGATTTGAGCAATAACTTTATAAGCTACATTTAGTAAAGTTATGCCTCTCCAGTTGGAGCATTCCATCAGGTTACCTTTCTTTGGTATATTAATAATGATGCCGTCTTTAAGATTAGGCGGTAATGACTCTTGGGACCAGAAGTTGTTGACAATTGGTTGAATAATTTGAGCAGCTGAAATTTTGTCTGCTTTGAGCAGTTCGGGGGCAATATTGTCCGGACCAGCGGACTTACCTGCTTTAAGCTGAGTTATTGCTGCCTCAATTTCACTGATGTTAGGTACATCTGTGTTTATATCGTTGCGAGCAACATGTTCGTGGTGTCTACTACATAGTTCCTGCTGAGGATAGGTGTTGTTTCCCGCTAGGAGATTTCTGTAGTGATCTTCCCAAACTTTTAGCTGATCTTCGGTAGAGTGTACTAGTTCGCCTCTGGTATTTTTTATTGGCTTTGCAATCCTGTGTTTACGTCCCACCATAGCTTTAGTGATGTTGTGTAGGTCTTTGAGCCTATGTGATTCGCTTGCTTTTTGAGCTTCTGTTGCTAAATTGTCGAGCCATCTGCGCTTATCGGCTCTAGCGCTGCGTTTAACTTTGCGGTTGGCAATACTGTAGTTGGCTTGTGCCCGCTGCTTTGTTTGGCGCGTTCTTGCCCTGTTAACCTTTTCTTTTTCTCCTTTGCGCGCTTTTATAAGATTCCATGTATGTTCGGTGATCCACGGATTATTTTGACGTTGAGGAATACCGACACTTTGTTGTGCTGCTTCAGTGAAGGCACATTTTGCTTGTTCCCAATAAGTTTCGGCTTCAAAGATTTCTTCTTCTAGTGGCAAGGGATTAGGGATTTGGGCCGATAAAAGAGATTGATAGTTATTTTGAACAGTAGGGTTGTCGAGTTTGGCGAGGTCGAACCGTTTCCTTTTGAATTGTGGCTTTCTAAAGACCGCATTTAATTTGAGTTGTATTTCACCGATTAGTAGATGGTGGTCAGAAGCCATGTCTGCACTTCTTTTATTTCTGACATCACATAATGAATGTCTCCACATTTTGCTGATGGCAATGTGGTCGATTTGATTTTCTGTTGCATTATCTGGGGAAACCCAAGTGACTTTATGCAAATGTTTGTGCGGGAAGAGACTACCTCCTATGGTGAGGCCCATGGTGTTACATAATTCATAGAAACGCTCCCCATTATCGTTCATTGTGCCGAGAGCATGTTTACCCATCACTTGCTTTCTTCCATTGTTATCTGGCCCGATTTGTGCGTTGAAATCTCCCATGACGAGCTTTATTTCACCTCTAGGGCATTTATTTAAAACAGAGTATAGGGAGTCATAAAAATTTTCCTTGATTTGTGGGTCGGTGACTTCAGTAGGCGCGTAACACTGTATGCATGTGAGGGTTCTGGCTCGAGTTTTAAATTTTGCCAGAATTATTCGGTCGCCATGTGGTTGCCATTCTATGAGCGCTTGTTTAGCTTCTTTGGATAATAGAAAGCCTACTCCACTTTCTCTTTTTTCGCCTGTGGCCTTTCCAGAGTATATGAGTGTAGCGCCGGAGGATGTTTTGTATTCGCCGCAGCCATTCCATCTTACTTCGCTTAGCCCGATGAATAAAAGATTGAGACGTACAAATTCACGTTCAAGTTGAGCAAGTTTTGATGTTTCTGCTAGAGTTCTTATATTCCAGGTTCCGAATCGTTTCCGTATTTTCATTCCAATAGTCGTCATCAAAGGGAGCCGTTGGTTATAATTATTTGTTTCGGTTTCAGTAATCGTGTAGATTCAGATGAACGAGTGATTAGCCCATGCATCCTATACTGGTACTGGGGCTGCCAGTTAAGGCCACCAGTCAGACCTTCAGACTCGAGAGTCCGAGAAAACGGTGGGCTTCTTAGCGAAGATTGAAGATGCTGTATCTTGCCTACATCCCGGGACGTCATGGAGGAAAAAGACCATCCGGGTCGCGAACCGTTGTGGATTGCTCTTAGCTTCAGATGCTCCTCTTTGACCTTACCGGCAAGGGAGGCCCTACCAGTAGCTACGCTACCGCCGGCATCGCTCTCAGGATCATTGCACCCTACTAAGCCCCCTCGCCACGACAAGGCCACAATCCCCGAGAGGGTAAGAATAAGAATAAGAATAAGATAATTTCCCACAATAAGAATGTCTAAATAATATATTGTTCCAAATGAGTTCAACTTATTTTCAATATATCATCATAAATAATTTTCAATTATTTTATGACAAACAAATAAACACTTAAAAGAATTAAAAGTTTTATTATTGCTTAAGAATAAAATGAGTCCAGGATAGCCCCTGTTTTTAATCTTGTATAATGAGGCGTTCAATTAATCTTAGTACCATAAGAAGGAGCATAACAGACTCGCCTTGAAAGTAAAGTGTTTAACTGCTAAGAACAGTGGATTTACAAAGAATTTCCCTGGGAAGTGAAGTCTTTAACTGCCAAGAAAAAAGCATTAACAAATTATTCAATCTGAACTTTTTATATTCATCTACATCAATCTAATGAAAAAACTCAGTGGACATCATTGTTCGATAGGTTCCACTTATTTACATGACACCTCAGATTGCAGCGAACTATGAATTAACTAGGTAAGGTCCTTAAATCAATAGTGTAACAACAAAAAAAATGATTTGACCTTTCAATACTCATCGCTATCAGAATAATAAAAAAAGTCGAGAGACATGAGTGTTGGAAATATCCCATTAATCTAGATGATACCTTAAATTGTGGTGAGCTATAAAGTACCCAGAATGGAACCTTATATTAAATTTATTTGGCAAAATAAACTTATTTGATATTATCCTTACTGTAATAGCATATAATTTGGGTTGGCACTTGTCTACATTATTGAGCCCATGGTTTGCAATTTTTTTTCTCTCCTTTTTGTTTATAATTTAATTTAAAAGGTTTTTGTAAATCCAGAAAAGGACCCAAAAATAATTGAGGCCATATTTGCCACATTTTTAGTCAGATATTCAGATATTATATTATTCGTCTTA